CTAACAAGGAACACCGTGAGCTGTGGGGGTGGGGAGAGGGGCAAACCAGACAGGGCCTCTTGGTGCACACTGGTTGGTAAGAAAACTTGCTAACCAAATCAAAAGGGTGGAGCCAGCAGGAAGGGAAGAGAAGGTTGTGGTTTTCTTGCCACCTCTGTGACCTCTGCTGACCTTCAGGATCCCCTCTCCCCACTTTAAAAAAAACAAATTCTGGTCAAGACAATTCATTAAGAAGGCAGAAAAATTGTTACAATTCTTGAACCTTCTATCTTAAACACTTTGTCTTTTTATTTCTTATGCTTCCAATCAAATGTTGTAGTCATAAGAGTACATGTTTTGTTGTAAAAAGATACACTCTAGATAAAACACATTAAACAGTCCATGGGGGATCATAAATCAGTTATTAATCCTCTTGTATATTCCCCCCATTCTCTTTCAAATCTATAGCCTCTTGTTTTTCATCATTGCTACTTGCATATATTTCTAAATACATAAATACAACCTTCTCAGCCTGCATAATGCTACTTATATCTATACATTTCAGGGTTGTCCATTTGGTACTGGATAATCAACTTGTGCTTTCCTTGGTAAAGACTATTTTTTTCCTATTCTCAGCGTTCCATAGGGCCTGTCATTATTTGTGTAGAGTGAGGTCTCACGAGCTTTCTTCTGACCATGATATTTATATATTTCACCTGCATGTTGGGACACTGTGTGCATTACCCACAGACGCCAGAAGAGGGCACCAAGATCCTCTAGAATTGGCAGATTGTGAGCCAAGATGTGGGTGTTGAAAACTGAACCCAGGACCTCTGGAAGAACAACCAGTGCTCTTAACCACTGAGCCATCTCTCCAGCCCAGACCTTTAAGTTCTGAATCTTGTTCTCCAGGGCAAATGTATGTCTAGGATCTTTAAACTCCAAAGTTGTCCAAAAAGTTTCCCAACTTTCTGGAGAAGCAAAAGAAAGAACAGATTAGAAGGATAACTTTGAGGTCAGAAGAAAAGACAAAGACAGAAGAGAGGAGCCACTGGGCTTTTTTTGTTTTTTTTTTTTTTCGCACATTACATCTGAGCCAGTCCTGCATGGTGTGAGTTGTGATGTTTCTCTTTATGCAGAAGTTTTGAGGAAAGGAAGAGGAAGTGGCCACAAAAGTCAGAAGAACAAAGCCAATTTCCAAAGCAAATTAAAATAAAACAAAAACTGAAATAAAATGAACAAATCAGTCATGCTAAAACTGTCAACAGACTTAAGACCTGGGGTCAAGTCAATATATACATTTATATAATTTCTTCAAAATCTTATACCTAATTTGATATTTCTAAAAATTGCACATGTAAGTCATGTGTATAACATGCTAAAGTACTTTAACTGTGATCTTAAAACTGAATAAAAACATTTAATAAAAAAAAAGTCAGAAGAAAATCAGCAGAGCCCATGTCTGCTCTCCACTTCCATATAACCCACTCTCTTCTTCATTGCCAGGGGGTCTGGGCATCTCGCAGCCTAACATGGCAGGGAGGAAGCCCAGTGGAGGGATGTGTCTCTCTGATGAGCTGTGATCTGAGCACACTTGGCTCACACAGCTGGCGAGCAGCCTGCAAATGTTGTGAGCTTTCACTGAGGCATGGATTCATTTGACCATCATCAGCTGCTAATGCTAATCTTGGTGGGGGAAGGGTGTGGCTCTGCTGCCAGATCCCCTTCTTTTCTGAGCAGCTAGAGGGGAGACCAGGGCTATCGATCCAAACCCAGATCCCTGGCACAAAGGAAACCATTGCCTCTGGACCAGATGACTTTCCATGCTCAGACACAGCCGCGGAGGCTTTGCCGGCACAGTCGAGCTAATGTGGTCACCAGCACCAGATGACCACACTTGAAACAGGACTGCCTGGGCTCTTGGTTTCCAGGTTGGTTACCTATTTTAAGACCCAGGATACTAACTAGTATTTTTTCCAGTGGAGTGGAAGTGTGATCACTGCTAAAATGAAACAGCAGTGAGAAGCTCTACTTCTAACGTGGAGACAGAGCAGCAAGCATATTGACAGGCAGAGGGTGTGTGCACACTAATCATTTTCCCGGGCAGATGGAATGGGTCTGAGGGAGAGGTAGAAGAATTGAGCTGGGTGATAAGAAAAGGGATGCTAAAATCCTGAGCAGGCATTTGATCCTGGGAGCGATAATGTTGGGAGGAGAAGGGTGGTTGCCACTCCCGCTGCACACCTTCCCAGCTCACAGCGCTTCACTGGCTGGCACTGTGCGATACTGCAGCATGGGATGGGGGGGGGGGGGAGTACCAGCTCAGGTTTCCGATCCGAGCATCAAGCCAATCATCGTTTGTTTGAAATCACTCCTGTGGGAGTGGAAGCCCTGAGCATTTAATAAAATGTCGAGAAGTATTGAGGCGTTACCTCAGATTGCGTGGCAGCTAGAAGGTCTAATGCTGGATTTGAGAAAACTTGGAATGGTTTTGTTTTGTATTTAATTGCTCAGATTTCCCAGTGATTTATCAAAGCTTTCACTGAGAAGTAACCACAAAAACAATGAAAACCTTATATAGTATATCAGTTTCTTTATTTTAATTTAAGATTTTTTTTTCATTTTACATACCAACCTAGTTCCCCCCTCCCCTACCTCCACTCCCCCACCTTCTCCCCATCCTCCCCATCACTCCTCAAAGGGGGTAAGGCCTCCTGTCACATCATGTGAGGAAAGGCCAAGGCCTGCCTCCCTGTATCAAGGCTGAGCAAGGTATCCAGCCATAGGGAATGGGCTCCAAAAAGCCAGCTCATATACCCTGGATAAGTCCTGGTCCCACTGTCAGCCCCATCCCCAACAGATCAAGCCATATAACTGTCACCCATATTCAGAGGGCCTAGCTTGGTCCCATGAAGGTTCTTCAGCTGTCAGTTCAGAGTCCATGGGCTCCCATTAGCTCAGGTCAACTGACTCCGTGGTTTTCCCAATCATGATATTGACCCCTTTGCTCATATGATCCCTTCTCCCTCTCTTTGATTGAACTCTAGGAGTTCAGCCCAGTGCTTTACTGTAGATCTCTGCATCTATTTCCATCAGTTACTGAATGATGGTTCTATGATGACAATTAGGGTAGTCATTAATCTGATTACAGTCGAAGGCCAGTTCAGGCACCCTCTCCACTATTGCTAGGAGTCTTAGTTGGGGTCATCCTTGTGGATTCCAGGGAATTTCCCTACCATCATGCTTCTCCCTAACCCCATAATGGTTCCTTCTATCAAGATATCTCTTTCATTGCTCTCCCTCTCCATCCCTCCCCCAACTCAACCATGTAGAACTCTCATGTTCCCATCCCCCATCCCCTCTCTTCCACTTCCTCCCAATTTACCCAGGAGATCTTGACTATTTTCCTTTCCTGGAGCCTTACATTTGTGTCTCTCCTAGGGTCCTCTTTTTTTACCTAGCTTCTCTGGGGTTGTGGTTTGTCACCTTTCATCTTGTTTGGGACATGGTCTCTTTTCTCTTCACCATTGTATTACTAGCCTTGCAGAACTGTGAGCTTCCCATGTTGCCATAGGAACTCTAGGAGTGCAGGTACATGCTGTCACACCTGACTCTATCTGAGTTCTGTGGACTTCAACTCAACTTCTCATAATTGTATGACAACTGCTTTACCCACTGAGGGTTTTCCCCCAGCCCATCGGTTTCTTTTTAAGACATAATGCAATTACGGTTAACAGAAAACATGTTCTTCATGATGCATTGTCTTTCTTGATGGAGGAGGAAGTGCTAGGGCTACATGTTATCCTGAAAGACTCACAGTGGAGACACTCTCCCTTTTCCACATCGAGTGTGCAAACAAAATTCATTTTCAGACTGTTACAGCCCAGGAGATGTCAAAACGCCACACTAAAGGGATGTTTTGTGAGGATAAAGAACCCCAAATGCACCCTGTGGAGGGACAACAGCCCCATGAGTGTAGCTCTCAGTTTCCTTAGAAAGAACAAGAAGAGGATACTGTCTGACAACTGACGGGGAACACGGAAGGAAGGATTAACTTCCACTCTAATTTGTTCATTTGTTCATTTTACAGTCCCTTTTAAAATGTAAGAAATTCTCCTTGTTTTGAGAGTTGTCTGTGGTGGCAGGTGCCTCTAATCCCAGCACCTGGGAGGCAGAGAAGAGCAGATCTTTGTGAGTTTGAGGTCAGCCTGGTCTACGAGAGCTAGTTCCAGGACAGGCTCCAAAGCTACAGAGCAACCCTGTCTCATAAATAAATAAATAAATAAATAAATAAATAAATAAATAAATCAACAAACAAGTTAATAAAGGAGAGCTGTCTGAAACAGATCACTGACCAGAGAGGGCAAGTGGGCTGTGTGGTTCACTAACCTATAAAGGACAGACCTTCCTGAAAGGACCGCTACAAGGTCATAGCCATGAAGAGAAGCAGCTTGTCCTGTTCACTGGGCTCGGAATAGTATTTGATTTTCATGTTTGTCCTTAAGATCACGAAAGAAGAAAGAAATTAGGTGAAATTTGTAAAATCCTGAGGATAGTTTCTTACCAAAGATTATCATCTAGGACCTTGTTTGCCTCTGAGTTTGAAATATGACGAGAACATTAGAAGTGAGTCCATGGGGCTCTCCAGCGCACGTGCTGCCTACACGCACCCCATTTCATCTCTAGACCACAGCTAGAGTTGGGCTCCAATTATTGCACACATTGGTTGGCGGGACTTTCCCAATCAAGAGTACAATTTGGTCTCCACCACAAAGTGACAGGTCCAGGAGCACAGACAGATCTTGGGAACAAAATCCTCCCTAAGACTTCGCCCTTTTGTACAATGGTGGCCACCGGAGCTTTGGTTTCCCTCTTTTGAATATCACATGCTTGGTGGGAAGGTCAGCAGAAGTAGATGGGCTGAATAGACACTTTTCAGTTCCCGTCTTTTCCCCTTCTTGCTCAATATCCTGAGGACAGAAGTGAACTTTTCTGTGTGTCAGCCTGGTACGGGGAAGAAGGGGCAGCTCATCCAACCAGTCCCCTACACACAGCCCTGCCAGGCATCAGAACGTGCCGCTATTTCTTGGTGTTTGTATGCAGGACAGACACAGCAGCTAAAAGCGGGGGAAGCCGAGGCATGGCCCCCAGGAAAACCCACTAACTGAGCCTAGTCGCCTTCCTACCTTCTTCTGCAGCAACCAGGTAACAAGGATGCCCAGGTCTCATCTCTCCCATCAGTGCATGGACTTTTACAGCAGGGAGTGATGCCACCTCTAGATTCTGGCAGGTCAGATTGTCCTGGCTGAGTAAGTGAGGGAAAGACATGTTCTGTTGGAAAACATGAGAGGAGATGGACATCGGATGCTAAATCTCAGCTGTATCTTAGCCAGGAGGGAGAAAAGCAGATAGAAAAGACAGCTGGGCCTCTTGTTCCTTGCAAACCTCTATCCTTGCAACAGAGCCAGAGGCACGATCCTACTGCCTGCAGAGCTGGGCACCAACGACTTGCCTCGTTCTCGCGCTTAACAAATGTAGGTTTGTCCTGCTGATGGGGGCAGGGGGAACTACATTTGGTTTCCTTCGGACTTTAAGATGTGGCAGAGCATGAGGTTTCTGTGAGATTCCCACACTGACAACAGAAAGAAGCAATAGCCATGATCCTCCTTCTCCAAGGAGGCCCTGGCACACTGGATAGATAATGACTACCAGCTACGAGTCAGCCAAGGAAGGCGTTGAGAATGGCCAGTAACTACGGGTTTGGGTTACAAGCTTTGGTTCTCTTGCATGTGCGGCTGTTGCTTTTGAAGAATGTATTAGGCTGTTTCTCCCCCTCCCCTTTATACTAGATTTATAGTGGAGTCATTAAAAGAGAACGGACTTTAGACTCTGCCTCCTATCACCATGTAACTCTGAAAGAGCCATATGATGTCTGTAAGTTTTCTTCTTTAACAAAGGATGTAGTGATTATTCTGGCCTCGTGGGTTTGTCATAGGGATAAAGTTACATATTGAGTACTAATAGGTAGCATTAAGTTATTGGTACTTGTTGTATAAAATATATTGGCACCAGGTACAAGTTTGCTTGTGTAGAAAAAATAAAGACTCTGTCGTCCCACAAGCAAAGCCATAGGTAGATATAGCCGCTCTCTTCCTGCTAGGAGGGGAGCTGCCTGAGGAGACACATACAGCAACACATACATATATGAGATCAGACACACAATGAGTCTAATGTCCCAAGAAACGAGCAACAGACAACAGGCAAAGGGGAGACAGATGAAGTTGTTCTTTCCAACCTAATCCCATCTTTAAAATGCTCTCCTCAAGGCAATCATTCATATCCGAGGAATTGTAGCCAGTTCCAGGAACCCTGTGAGAGAGCTGGCAGGGTATTTCAAAAAGAGGAAAGAAAGGCTGGGAAGGAAGTATATGACTTTCGCAGGTTGAAGTCAGCTCCACTTCCTTGTCATTTCCATCTCTTTAACTTCCATTTGGTTCGTCACACACACACACACACACACACTTCTTCCTGGGGGGGTCTCTCCACTTCCTTCCAGAGGAGAAATGCTGGTCCTGAAAGTTGATACCACCTCACAGAGCAGGGATGCTGACATCTAGTGTCCCGAAGCTTAAGTGCACATGATGGCTGGGAAGGACTCAGCAATTTGGATGCTGTTTTCAGATCCCACTTGTGTCAGAAGTTACCAAGGCAGGGAAGTTCAGGGATGTGCCTGAGCCATGCACTTGTCTGAGATGGTGCTGGGAGCTGCCTCTGAGGCCATGTTTCTAACAACAGGAACATAGAGAAAGTAAACCATGTCTCATGAGAAGGTTTGGTCCCTCTCTGGCTACTGAGATTGGTTAGAGCTGTTTGGTTTGTTAGTTAGACCAGGTGCCGTCTGTGAGCAGTAGGTAAATGAATGGGATGTCTGTGCCTCAATTGCTTTATTGACTTAAGTTTATATTTGTTAGGTGATGCCCCAAAATCTCCTGGCCCAGCACGCACAAGTGTATTTGCTGTCAGTGAAGCTACCAATCCCACAGTGAGGAGCAGAGTGTGTGTGCAAGACAGAGCTGCAGAGTGAGGTTCAATACCACACTGAGGAGAGCCGGAGAGCAAGATAGAGACACAGACTAAGGTCCTGGGGGGCATCAGGACAAGTCCCTTATTCTGCTACTTTTCTGTCAAACTGTGGCCCCATGTGTAAGGCTTTGTTTCTTTGTCAGACACCGTGACTCAATGCTAGGGCCACCAATTCGACTGGGTTAGCTGTAAGACCCAATTTTACCTCCTTGCTTGTCACTAAAGCTCAGGGCTAAGGTTGTTCTTAATTACCGTACAGTTACTGAGTGTGAGAGGAAGAATTGGAATAGCCTCTGCCCCAATCGCCAGAGCAAATCAAGTATGTGTCCAGGTAGATGCAAGAAGCCAGTAGGAAACTGTAGAAGCCAAAAGATATTTTCGTATCAGAAGCTAGTCTGGGAATTCTCTGGTGATGCGGAAAGCCCCAGATTCACCCTGCTCATGTAACTTTGCTAACCAGCCTAGTTGCAGAAACAGGAAGTCAGGAAAGCCATGAGGCTGTATAAGCACAGCATATTCTTTGGTTGGTGGTTAATCTTAGCAGTGATCTGAATGGCATTCTGAGTCACCATGGAAACAAATCTCTGGAGGTGTATAAGGGTTAGGTTAATCGATGTGGAAGGACCTAGCCCTGACTGAGAGGGGACCATTCTGTGGGCTGAGAGCCCCAACCACGAAAAAAGACGGAAATTGAGCCGAGCACAGGCATTCAGCATGTGGTATAACGTGACCGGATGCCTCCTTCTGCCGCCATAACTTCTTAGCCGTGGTGGAATATACCTTCCAAAACCATAAGGCAAAATAAACCGTTCTTTCTTTTCCCTGAGCTACTGTTTTCTTCCGGTCTCTTGTTGCAGCAACAATATAGTAACTGACTCACTCGGGTAACTGGCTTGCTGGGGCAAGCTTCCTGAAAACAGGCCAGAATAGCCTATGACTTGGCTTGGGCAGGTTAAGTGCCAAGTCCCCTCTGCTGCTTGTCACTAATCACTAAACACAGTTGGATGCCACCCGGGGAGAAAAGGACAGCAATAAATGGTGACCCTGTAATGCAATCACGAGAAGAACCCTTCCTGCCCTTCTTTTCTAAACGTCATCCATTTAAGCACTTCGAATCTCACAGAAACCTAGCACAAGGGATTTCAGGTGGAGGTACATGTTTCGGTTTCTAGTGATTTCTGTTACAAAATACTATGACTGTGGCTTGTAACAATGGAAGGTGGTCTTAAGTCAGGGTGTCAGACAGAACCAAGTTCAATGGCTCGGTCCTTTAGTTGGTTCCATCAGACCATGCTGGTATCGGGGTCTTCTTGCCAAGTGCCTTGTGAAAGTGGTTGGTTTCTATATCCTCCATCCTTCTTTAGAGCTGGTTCCCAAGTTCCACCACATTTCCCCATGATTTGATTTCTGTCTTTGGACTTCCACTGGTATCTTCTATTAGATTTTTGGAGTGACACTCCCCATTATCCCGGGAGCTCAATTCTGCTTCATTAGAAGCACTGAAGATCAACCCAATGTGTCCATGATGTTTTGACACTAAAGGGAAATTTCATTTCTGAGAGACAGAGACAGAGACAGAGGAACAAAGGAAAGAAAGAGGGAAGGAAGGAAGGAAGGAAGGAAGGAAGGAAGGAAGGAAGGAAGGAAGGAGGGAGGGAGGGAGGGAGGGAGGGAGGGAGGGAGGGAGGGAGGAAGGAAGGGAGGGAGGGAAAGAGTCCTCAAGATGATGCTGCTACCCCCAACCTGTGCTTCCTATTTTCAGATGTCTCCATGTCACAGGACACCACCCAAAATACCTGTATTTACTGTGTTGCCCAACAACTTTGGTCATTTAAAGTCATTTTTCTAGCGCTCTAATAGTGTGTTGCTTGCCTTATCCATGCTGGTATTTGACATCGAGCCAATATTATCTATTACATCATATCTGATTTAACACTGCTCCAAGCCCTGATTTTAACTAACCTTACTGAATTTTTGTATAATTGTAGAACATAGTTAACATAAAATCTGACATTTTTTTTCCTTTTTCATTTGTGTAAATGTGTGTGTGTTGTGTGTATGTGTTTTGCATATGTGTGGATGAGAGGGGGGAGAGAAATAAGAGAGTGTGTGTATGTTGTGTGTATGTGTGTGTGTGAATGGGGGGAGAGAAAGAAGAGTGTGAGAGAGAGAGAGAGAGAGAGAGAGAGAGAGAGAGAGATTCAATAGGAATTTAAGGCTAGTGGGGAATCAGAGATTCATACTCCAGAGCTCTTCGATCTTATTCATTGAGTTAGTCTCACAATTGAACCCAGAGCTTAAAAGTGGGGCTGGTCTCAATAGCTAGCTTGCTCTAGGGATTCCCCCCGCCTTTGCCTTCCAAGGCTGAAATTACAGGTAGCCACCAATCCCATCCAGACTTTACATAGGTCCTCAGGTAGAGAAGGAAGCATTTTAAGCACTGAGGCATTTGCCCAGTCCAATTGTGTGTGTGTGTTGTGTGTATATGTGTGAATGAGGGGGGAGAGAAAGAAGAGTGTGTGTGTGTGTGTGTGTTTGTGAATGAGGGGGGAGAGAGAGGAGAGAGAGAGAGTGTGTGTGTGTATTTCAATAGGAATTTAAGGCTGTGTGAAGTCTACAATTCTGTATCACATATGGTCACATTGTTGTGCAGCCCTCACCATCTCTAGGAACATTTAATGTTTCCCATCTGAAACTGGGCATCTATTAAGTGTTAATTCCCCATTCCTTTCCTCCCCAGCTTCTGGCAGCCTCTCTGCCTGTATGAATTCAGCTACACTGGGTACCTCATGTGAATGGAACCACAGAATGCTAGTTTCTAAGTGACTGGTTTGGTTCACCTAAGTGAATCAAAGTGTCCTCATAGGTTATATGATAGCAAGGCCAGAATTTTCCTTCTCTTGTATATAAAATCATACACTTAATAATGTGATTATTTTTCCCAATCATAGAATTAGCAATAAGAAGCCAGGCGATGGTGGCGCATACTTTTAATCCCTGCACTTGGGAGGCAGAGGCAGGAGGATCTCTGTGAGTTTGAGACCAGCCTAGTCTACAGAGCTAGTTCCAGGACAGGGCTCCAAAGCCACAGAGAAACCCTGTCTCAAAAAACCCAAAAAAAA